TGGTGGCAGGACAGACTGTCATCAGAGCACATCTCAGACATGGGACAAACACATCTTAGACAACTGCTTCAGAAGTTGTCAGGGAGAATCAGGTCTGGAAGGGAGGCCAGGGAAGGCTTCCTGGAGGAAGTGACACTATAGGCAGTGGGAAAGGTGAGTTGGGAGTTGACCTGGCTCAGAGGGAAGGGAGTGCGCACCAACGAGGGGGAACAGTTTGGGGAAAGACCCAGCAAGAGTGTGGGTTCCTGGAGGCTGAAAGGGCCTAGAGTGGCTGGAACTGAAGTTGGGAGAGAGAGAGTGGGATGAGGCTGAGAGGCCTGTGGGCTTCTGGACAAGCCCTGCCCTGCATGCCCTCATCCTGGGAGCAGGAAGAGATGCAATGCTGAAATTGGCCGTTTGTGAAGAATAACAAAGTCTCCTGATGGACCATGTGGGCCAGGCCAGGCCCTGGGGCCACCCTCCTCTTCCTGACCACGCCCTGCGAGGGGCTCTCACGCCCACTCTTCCAGCTGGAAGAGTCAGGCCAGGAAGGTGTTAAGCGTTTTCTTCGTGACCTTCCAGCAAAGCAGTGGAGGAGGCGCTGGGATCCAAACCCAGCTCTGTCCGGGGCCACGTCCACACATGTCCGCTGCTCCACACGCCCCACAGCGCCCTTCTCGTCTACGACAGCCTCGGGGGTAAATCCTCCCCCTTCTCAGCATTGCTTTCCTCATTTCTGGAAATGAGCAAGGACTGGCCCCGCCTCCCTCCTCGAGAGCGTTGCTGCGAAGGATGAAGTGACAGCCAGTCAGAGGAGTAAGCCGCTCAGTCCAAGCCTCTGAGTTTACGGAAGGGAAACTGAGGCCTCGCGAGGAGGATTGGCTGGCCCCAGATCACCCAGCCAGTTAGAGGCAGGGCTCGGATGGAAACTCCGGCTTCCGCACCAGCGGCTTCATACTAGAAACAGGTAGAGCCGTGGACGGGGCAGAGCTAACTGCCTTTGCTCCGACCTTGCTCACTGAGCCGGGGCCCCACGAGGCAGCCACTCGTGTCTGTGCATCGTGGGTAGAGCGGCTGTGGACCACAGAGAGAGAGGCCCAGGCCAGGTTAACTGTATTGATAACAGCTAAAAATTATTAAGTGCTTTCTATGAGCCAGACTGTGAATTAATTATATCATTTAGGCCTTGACATTGTATCCCCGGCAATGAAGTGACCTGCCTGAGGTCAGACTCCCACAAGGCCCGTGAGCTCTGCACCAACCAGGCTGTGCCGGGGGCTCTCTGTCGGCTGGTAGGGCAAAGCGAGCTCCTCCGAACCCCACCTGCAGGGGCCAGGCGCACGGCTCTGAGATGACTCACCCACCCAGAGGCGCAAAGCAAACACCTTGGCATTGCCAGACCCCCAGTCATCGGGGACCTTTGTCAGCAGGGGCGGCCTGTGGGAGAGCCGTCCGGATTCCACTGCCACTCAGGTGTGACCTGTCTCGTCACCTGGGTTGAGCTTTGCGCCCTTTTGTTGGGCCATGAACTCTAGAGCCTTTGTGCTGTGGAGCTGAGCTAGTCTGCTGGAGGGGAAGGGCAGTGATGTTGGCAGGCCCCACTCCGCCACTGACGTGCTGTGTACCTTTGGGCAAGTCGCTTCACCTCTCTGTGCCTCTGTTACATCGTTCCCAAAGTGAAGATAATAACACCCGCCCGGTAGAGTTTTGCAAATCCAGTGACAAAGTAAAGGGGCTGGCAGAATAGCACAGTGGCTAAGTGTTAAGGCGGCTTGCGAGCCACATTTCCCAGTTAAAATCTCGCTAGCCACGTGATCAAGTTACTTATTCTCTCTTGCCTCAGTTTCGCCATCTGTAAAAGGGGAAAGAGAAATCTGCTCTATTTCACTGGGTTACTGTGAACATCCAACATGTTCTTACATATGAAGCTCTTAATGCCTGGCACAGGGTCAGCACTCAGTAAGTTTTGACTGTTCTTATTTCCATGTATCTTCCCCTCTCAGCCTGCTTCCATTCTCACTTTGGCTACTAGGAAGCTCAGAGCGAACATTGTTTTCGATTACAGCCATTACCGCATCCCAGATTCACAGAATAATTCTCTTTTTCTTATTCCTAAGGGCTTTCTGGATGCTTCTAAAATGTAAATATAATTTAAATATCATACATAAACTTCTCTCCAATTCTTTCTGGGAATAGCAGAGTACATAGTGTTTTATAAAACACGACAGGGTAGGCTACGCATGTCACGGAGCCTATGTCGAAGCGCTCCTTGCCACCGGGGGCTGTCCTGTTCTTTGTATTTGTGACTTTGGGTCCCAGCACATATTGGGCCTTAGAGAAAGGAACGGAGGGCAGGGACTGGGATGCGCATGTGCTGTGGAGTCCTCTCCTCTCACACCGCCCAGCCAGGGCTGGCCCATCGCAGACATCCAGCAGAGACCTGGGAGTGAGCCGAGCAGTTAGTTCAGACCAAGGTGTTCAGTTCCACGGTGATGGCAGAGAGGTTGTGGTTGTCTGATGTCACAGATCTCAGCATGACATCAGCTCCCACCAAGGAAAGTTGTCCTTCCCTGTGCCTCATGGAGGGAAGAGAAATAGAAGCTGAGGGTATGAGGCCCGGGATGGAGAGGGGAAGGGTACTGCTCCCTCTCATACCCCCAGCCCTGGTAGCTCAGCTTCAACTGAGCCATTCATTCATTCATTCATTCGTTCATTCGTTCATCCAACAAACTCAGCTGGGCTTCCATTGGGTTCCATCCCTACACCTGAAGCCGAGGGTGCTGAGATGAGTGGGACACTCAGAAAGACAGACAGAAGGATGGGTCTGAGGAGAGAATGCATGAAGTGCTACAATTATTGTCATCAAGACGTGGTTTGACACAGGGCTTTTTTCTCACATTGAATTTATTTATAACAATCGTTGTGTATTGGGGACTAGCTATGTGCCCAGAGCTGTGCTAAGCCCTTAACATAACAGAGGCGCAGAGAGGTGAAGTGACTTGCCCAACGGTGTTATTGTGTTGACACCCCAGCCACCCTCTGAGGTGGGGAGTTTTATCCTGCACTGGCAGACGAGGAAATGGAACAGAGCAAGGATGTGACTTGCCCAAGGCAGGTCAGAAATGGGACTTAAAGTCCACCCCCCTATGAGAGGAATGGAGTGGGATAGTTTAGTTTAGTTTGTTTGTTATTAGAGAGAGAGGAAGGCAGAGGGGGAGAGAGAGAAACGTTGATGTGAGAGCAAAAGATCAATCCGCTGCCTCCTGCACGCCCCCCACCGAAGGTCAAGCCTGCAACCTGGGTATGTGCCCTGACCGGGAATCGAACCTGCAACCTTTTTGTGCACAGGATGACACCCAACCAACTGAGCCACGGCCACGGCTGGAGTGGGACAGTTTAAATCAGGGCTGACCAAGAAAATCCCGGCAGGGAGTGGCTGCCACCGCGCAGGGCTTTTAGCAGGCAAAGGGGCTGGAGCAGGAAGGGACGTGGGGTGGGTGGGTGCCGTGGCATCCGAGGTTTGCTCTCCTCTCTTCCTGGAGTCCCAGGTCGTCAGAGCCAGCCTATGTGCTTTAGTCCCATGTTTGCCAGGGCTTCCAACAGAGCAGACTCTGGGAGGAACACGGAAATGGCATTAAATGACACTGAATCACACGGTGAGAAAGTTCCCCTTGCCTTCTCCTCCACCCCTGCTGATTACTCACGGAGAAAGTCTGTTTCCTGCCAACATGTCTCCAACACCTCGCTGACAGCCCCTAATCTCCCTTTTCAATAAGGAAAAGCAGGCCTCAAGCTCAGACCCTGCTAAGGAGCTGGAATGCCAGGGCACCCTCTCGCTTTCACTGCGCGTAATTTATGTATCTTTATTTTCATTTAACAAACTTGCTAAGTGCCACTACTTTGCAAATATCAACTCCTTTTATCCTCATCCCAACTTTATGATTTAGGCGCTGTTATTATTTTAAGCCTGCAGATGAGTAAGCTGAGGGGGCACAGAGACGTTAAATAACTTGCCTAAGGTCACACAGTGAGTGTCAGAGCAAGGGTTATGAACCCAGGCAGCTGGCCCTACAGGCCATGTTTTTTGTTTTTTTTTAAATATATTTTTATTGATTTCTGAGAGGAACAGAGAGGGGGGAGAGAGAGATAAAAACATCAATGATGAGAGAGAATCATTGACTGGCTGCCTCCTGCATGCCCCCTAATGGGGATCAAGCCCGCAACCCTGGCATGTGCCCTTGACTGGAATCAAACCTGGGAACCTTCAGTCCGCAGGCTGACGCTCTATCCACTGAGCCAAACCAGCAAGGGCCACAGGCCGTGTTCTTAACCACCTCGCCAAACTACTTCTGGTTATAGGAATCAGTGCTGGCTTTCTTCTAGGTATAGTAGTAACCTGATTTTTCCTTTACTGAATTTATTTCAGAAAAAAAATATAGGGGAGTCCATTTAAAAGTGTAGTTCAAATGGTTACATGGTTAAAGAGTTTAGGAATGACTGAAGTTTGAGGAACTCTGGTCTAGTCCAAGCCCTTCATCTGCTAGTGGAGAAGCTGAAGCTCAGAGAGGGGATGGAACCGGCCTAAGGTCACACAGCAAGGGTAGATGGGGCTGAGGTCTCACCTGCGGCCCACACCCTGTCTGCTTCCCGCACTCGGGGCCGATGGGGCACCTGGCAGGAGGCGTGCTGAGGTGTGTTCACCTGCCTGGAAGTGTCCTGTGCTGTAAGGTGATCCCGTTATCTCTGCTGCTTCCTGCACAGGCAGGCCCTCACCTCAGGCCAACCCTGCATCAGCATTTGGCCACCAGCTGAGCCGACTTCCATCACGTTCTCTACATTCTCCGCCCGGGCTCGCTCGCTCACTCGGTACAGCCTGAGCAGGGAGTGGTCCTCCGTCTGCCCTCAGTGCTTACCTTCCTCACTTTCATGCCTTTCTAGAAGGTTCCACACCTCTGCCTTGCAGAGAGACATGAGCTGGGCTTAAATCCTGATTCCACCACGTCCCCATCTTCAGCAGGATGCTGGGGCCCACCGAGCTTTGCTGTCCCCATGTGTCCAGTGAGGGGGAACAAGGTCGAGGACCGTTGGCTGGAGGGATGCACGAAGTGAGGTAGGAGCAGATGCCACTGCTCGGCTGCTTTCTGAGTCACTGATCTTCAGGGCCACCTCTTTGTCCTGGAGGGACATGAGGCCCCAGTGAAGAGGGGAATACAGTGGAGTCAATGTCCCCACCGTAGAGATGAGAAAATCGAGGCCAGCTTCTCCCCAAATCAGGCACTGGCCTGGGCTTCCACTCACAGGATCCCGGCTGAGCACTACGCCATGGCCATGGGCGGGTCATTTCTCCTCCCTTGGCCTCAGTTTCCTCGGCTGTCAAATGAGACCTAGCATGCAGGATTCCCGAGAGGCTTAAACCTGACGAACGGTCTTCGTCATGTCTGAGGCGCTCTGCAGATGCTATTTATGACTGTCTGCGTGTCTTGTGTAGACAGAAAAATCACTGCGGAGCACGCCTACCGTGTAGATGGGACATACAAGGCCAGTAACGCCCCCTTTCCAGTCAGAGCCTCTGACGAGGGCCGGGTGGAGTTGGATCTTGGCCGCTGTTTTGTTTCTCACTCGTTCTTCCAGTCAGCCATCTTTTTTCACCCACCACTGGGTGAGGCATCCTGGTGTGGGAGAGAGGGTATTAGCTCCAAATCTGGCCGCCCTGGATTTGCACCCTGACTTCCCCACTTCCTGGCTGTGTGATCATGGGCAAGTCGCTTCACCTCTCGGAGCTTCAGGTTTCTCGTCTCTAAGATGGGGATGACCAGGCGACCTGCCTCACCAGGCCGTTGTGGCAATTGAGTCGGTGCACGTGATGCTTGGCACACATCCTGGTCGCTACCTGTGTTGCCTACTTGCTACACCCCGGGCCCTGCGCTAGTCTGAGGTAGGTCCCACGCCGTGAAGGCCACGGTGCCACACCCGGCGTGGGTGGTCAGGGAAGGCTTCCCGGAGCCGGGTGAAAGGGGAAGGCGAGGGCATGCCACGCAGAGGAAGCAGCCCAGGCAAAAGCGTGGCGTCCGGAGAGGCAGCCGTCTCTGCCTCTGGCTTCACGTGGGCTGTGTGTGGGGGAGAGGCAGGAGATGAGGCTGCTGAGTCGACAGGCCCCCCGGGGACAGTTTGTCGGAGGAGCTTGACAAGGTTAAGGATCTTCCCCGAACATCCTTTCACTTCCCCTCAATAACCTGGTGCGGATCTATCATCCGTGTATTTATCTAAACCCTTGCTGGACCCATTTATATCCTTAGCCTCTCCAGCTTCTCGGCGTAATGAGCTCCAGATGTGGTGAGGGGTCCTTCCCGAAGCCTCTACCTCCAGCCCAGAGGGTGCCGGGCTTGGGGGGGGCTGAGGGGAAAGACTTAGAGCCTGCTCCCCAACCTGGCTTCACCCTTACATGGGCCTAAGACAGATTAGGGTGGGTGCTGGGTCCCTGAGGGTTCCAGACCCCTGCAGGACCCTGAGCCTGAGCACTCTGCATGCCAGGACATCTGTGGGCTCCTCCAGGGGTACCCCACAAATATTGAACCCACTGTGGCCACTCCCGGAGAGAGACGGGCTAACCAGGAAGCTCTCTCAACCCACAGAGATAGCAGGCCTGTCCGTAAACCACACCAGAACGGTAGGGCTTCAAGGGGCTCAGAAATCTTTTGTCCTGTGGTTTCCAGTTGTCAGTTTCAATTCCTATTGTCTCGAGCTGTGTTCTCACTATTGTTGTTGAAATGATTCACTTTTCTATTTGCTGGAGTACAAACGTTTCCCCCTTATGTGCAGGGGACATGTTCCAAGACCCACAGTGGATGCCTGAAACAGTAGTTCGTAACAAACCCTACCTACACTATGTTTTTTTCCTGTACATACATACCTCTGATAAAGTTTAACTTATAAATTAGGGACAGAAAGAGATTAACAACAAATCATAATAAAAAAGAACACTTATAACAACATGCTATAATAACAGTTAGGTGAATGGCTTTGGAGCCATTAGTAAATAAAATAGGGGTGACTAGAACACACAAGCGCGGTGGTACCTGGACAATCGATCTGATAACCGAGGTGGCTGCTAAGTGGCTGATGGGCGGGTGGCATACGCAGCACGGACGCGCTGGACAAAGGGATGATAGGGGTGGCGCTGAGATTTCATCACACTACTCAGAATGGGGTGCAATTTAAATCCTATTTACTGTTATTTCTGGAATTTTTTCATTTAATATCTCCGGACTGTGGTTGACCGCAGGTAACTGAAACCGTGGAAAGTGAAACCGTGGATAAAGGAGGACTAACTACTGTCGATGTATAGGGTGTCCCAAAATTCACGCAAGAAGTAATTTTGATAGAAAACACAGGTTTATAATTAAAAATTGTAAATTTTTTATTGATTCATAAAGTATACAGTATAGGGTTATGTATAGAATAGCACATCGGGTAAATGGCCTCCACGGTTTTGCTGGCACATATGCAAAGCCGTGGTCTTCATCGGTCTTCATTGTCCCTGCTCCTGGGCCATAATTGGTACTTGGTAATGCTTATCAAATTGAAGGGATTGAAATCAAAGGGCAACAGATAATAGAATCTGATTCAATAAACCAAGTAAAATTAGGCTTTTATTTTTTGTTGTTGTTAATGCTCACGCAAAATTCAAATCTTGCGTGAATTTTGGGACACCCTATATTAAGGCAAATCCATATCCCTGCCACAAACAAGACCAATATCTCTTGACACAGACAGAAGGTACCTGTAAGTGCAGCAGCAACAGGACAGGGTGATAGCAGGGTGTAGGGAACAGAGGGCCATGGGGAGGCAGGCAGAGGTGATACAAGGACAGGTTGCGGCAGGTCCCTGCTGTGGGCAACAGGGGCTCCATCTCCCCGGGACCTCGTGTGGGACCCTGGAGATTGATTGGTCACTGTCCTCACTCGCCAAGGTTGCTGTTTCCCTCGCACTTCCCTGTGTTGCTGTATGTGACAGGGCGAGGCCCTGCAGGCACCGAGCTGGAGTGAGAGGCAGGTAAAGTGAGGAGCTGCTAAGGTGAGGAGCAGCTAAGGTGAGGAGCCAGCGCCAGAGACCGCTCCACACAAGGTATTTCAGAGAGATGGTCAAGTCCCAGCAGCCCCAGGGCAGACTTTGTCTTTGAGGGGCCAGGGATTGAGGAGAACTGAAAAGGGAACATTCTCTCTGTCTCTAGAATGCAATGTCTGCCCCCACTAAAGCCTCTCGCGATCCCCGTGAGAAAACAGGCCCAGTGAGAGGAAGGGACTTGTCCACGGCACATGGATGCTACAAAGCTCGGGTCTCCTGACACTGCCCTGACCTGCCTTCCCCAGACTCACTTTCACACGCTTTCCCAGCATTTTAGTATTTTTAGATGGATCCAGGAGAGGGGATTGGAGATTGAAGGGGCCAAGCTACTGTCTGTGGGGAGAACCAGAGCCTCAGGAAGGCCCACCTGTCCCAGTGGTCTCCCCGCTTCCCCTCACCCCCAGGCTGGTGCCCTCAGGGTGAATCTCTGAGTCCTTGTTATTAGAGGATCGGCTTCGAGAAGGATTCCTGGGGGTGCTGGATGCATTGAGTTCAAATCTTAGTTCTGCCCCAGCTGGTCACATGACCTTGGATAATGACTTCACTGCTCTTGCCTCAGTTTCCTTCTCTATAAAATGGGGATAATACAGTGCCCATCTCATAGGAGTGTTCGGAAGGTTAAATAAAGTAATACGTGTAAATGCTTCCAACTGAGCCTGGCACAAGCACTCTGCGTGTTTGCTGCTATTATTATTATTATTATTATTATGCACAGGGAAGAAAGGAAAGAGACTGACATTATTTAGATCTTACGAAGGGCCAAGCACTGTCCCTGCATTTTGCAGAGCCCATCTTATGCAATCCTCCGGCCAACTCTAGAAAGGTAGTTCTTTTTTAAAAATTATATTTTTATTGATTTCAGAGAGGAAGGGAGAGGGAGAGAGAGACACACATCCATCAGCTGCCTCCCGCAACTCGGGCATGTGCCCTGACCGGGACTCGGAAGAAAGGCAGTTCTTTTTCCGAGAAGGTAGGCTTCAGGGGCATAAGTGCTGTGCCCAGGTCACACCGTGGGGAGGTGCAGCCCGCATGCTGGACACGTGGGTGTCCACCGCATGGACTCAGGCACCGTGGGGAGGTGGGACATGCCGTTGAAGGAGCCAAACCAGCGCAGCAGAGGGCTCGGGTGGGGGTGGGAGACACCAGGCTGGAAGGGGTGGCTGGGCCGGCTCAGGAATTCCGGGGGAAGGAGTTGTGCTTTCTCCCACAGGCACCGGGGAGCCACCAGCAGGCCACAAGCAGGGAGTGACATGATAAAAGGGGTGTTCGAGAAAGGTCTGTGCGGCTGCGGTTTGGGGATGGATGGGCGGCGGAGAGGTCCGTAGGGGAGGCGGGAAGCTCAGCTGGGCGGCTGGACGGGAAAGGTCCCCTGGGGCAGGCACAGGGAGCCGTCGGTCAGACTGACCCCCCAGGGCCCCAGGACAGGGCCCAGCCAGGTCAGGGCCCAGGGCCTCAGGTGCTTCCAGACCCAAGCTCCTTCCCTTCGCCAGCTTTCAGCTTTGTCCGGGAGTCGCCTGCAGATTTATGAGGTGTGGGGGATCGGCGCGGCGGGGGCGGCCTGCAGACAGCCCGGAGGAAGAGGGAGAGGGAGGATGTTCTCCAGCCACGGACCCGCTCTCACCTCGCTTCCACCTGGGACCCAGCCGGCCCGGCCCATGGCACCACCCCATGCCCCGCCACTCAGCGTTTCTGAGAGCCTGCCCTGGGCCCGGCTGGGAACCCGCACCTGTTGCCTCAGTTTCTCCTCGCAGACACCCCGAGGGGTGAGTAGACAGGGGCCTACAGGAATCTGAGACGGGCGGAGGCTGCCGCCAGTAGGGAGAACGCGCCGGAACCTTCTGGACCAGGGTCAGAGGCGCCCCTGAGACGGCAAGAGCAGGTTGCAAACAGCACGTCGCGTGTGACTCCTTTGGTGACTTTCAGAGGAATAAATATGCGTTTATGGCTCCCTGCCCACGTTTTCTGCACAAGCGAAACGTCTAAATG